TATAACTGATCAAAAAGGTGAATCGGATCCAAAAAAAAACGTGCTAAGGAAATCATTGCTAAACTAGACATTAGTGATGATAAGAAATTAAGTAAACAAGAATTTGTTAATGGGTATGATTTTTAAAACAAATTATTTATCAATATTTTTATCATTTGTTTTCTCAGATGTATCAATGATCCAGTTATTTGTGGTCTATTAGTTCGATGTTGTTAATAACAATTATACAATGTCTTTATTTATTGACAAACAACAAGCGAACATAACAAAATACACTTCGAGTTTTTTTTTTTTGTAAACTTTTTTCATTATTATGAAACAAAATATCGAATCTGTCAATGAATTTAATTGGCTATTATGTTAAATATTGATTAAAAAAAATATTTTTTTTCAATCTAAACTTTATTCGAGGATTTAAAGGAAAAAATAGAAGTGAAAGAGAAATCTATGATATTTTAATCTTTGTTGAATAATATAAGTTTCTACAAAACTTTGTTCATAATCCTATCTAAAACAAAAACCTCTACTAGTCAACGCTTCCTAAGTTTGAGGGAGGAATTTTGTTGCTAGGAATGTCTCTCTCTAATCTGAACAAATTCTTATTCTTAACAATGAACATTTTTAAATGTTTTCCTTCTTGGATTATAATTAAAACTAATTAATATCGATAGTGATTCAAAAGTAAAAAGACAAAAATAAGACATCAAATCTTGTGTTGTAATTTCTAAACTTCCTAAGATTAATGTGGACCTAGATATTCGGGAAGAGTTTATTCATTTCACGGTAAATTTCTAAACTGAACATGCCTTTATAGTGAACATTTTTAGCGGTCTTCATCATGTTTGCAATAGAGAAGTTTTACTATATTTGAAAGATAAAGTATTTTTCATCTATCTGTTTGATTCATTTATTCTATTATTAAATGAATATAAGGAAAATATCCATCCATTTAAAAGAAAGTCAAAGAATTGAGTCATATTCTATTGAAATATTTATTAAAACTATGCGGAATTACTGAAAAACAAGAACATAGTTAATCTCTTCGTGTCAGATTGGACTTCTACTCACTAGTTAAGATTCCTAATCTATCTAATCATTTTTTTTTAATCAAATCTAGTAAGTTATAGGTAATCAACCATGCTAATTACGAATATCAATACACAACTTTCTGTAAAGATCAATAAGGAAAGGAAAAGAATTATGCTTCTGGTGGCTTCCGTGGTAGTTTCCTAACAAGCTCAACTCGACGTGCTTCACAATCTAGATGGATCAAAAAAGGTTTCGACGGAAAAAGAGACTTTCCAGTAATCAGTCTCTGGAGTTCTAGTTGCCAGTGACGTATTGATATTCGTAATTAGCACGGTTGATTACTTATAATCTACTAGGTGAAAAAAAACCGATTAGACAGTCTGGAACCTTCTCTTATCAGTCTTCGATCAACAAAGGATATTGATATAAGTAAAATCATTTTCTTGTTTATTGATCGCAGTACACTCATACTTTTCCTTAACCAATTATTTCATATTGTGCTTTATGTTCACGTTTCCAATAAAATATGATTTTATTCTCATTATTAGGTAAAATAATATCTTGTTTAGATAAGATCAATTACTGGTTTTTGTGTGTCTGACGAATATATTATTTGAATATCCGATGTTACACCGAATAAAACTTTGTCTTTTTCAGTTTCATGAAGATATTTAAATTCGAAACAATTTCCATTATATGAAAACATTTGACAAAAAAAAAAATTTTGCAATAAAAATTACGAAAAAAGAAAATATAACGTTTTTAAAATTTCATTGAAGTCTCGTAGACTCTTTCATACAAAATCGACAGTGAAAATGGCAAAATTCCTTTCTTTTTAGTTGCCATACCACAACCGAATAAATTATAGTCACATGCAATTCCATCTGTCTAGGTATATATCTTCTAATGGAATTAGCCATCGATCATTTATCTTCGGTCTCTTCGGGATATTTTAGGTCTAAATAACAATTCGAATAATAACTTTAATTTATCAATGTTTCATATGGGATCAATTTACGTATGCATTTACACAAATACTTGAATAATAAATAGTATTTCATGTTAATATGAAACCTGAAACTTCATTACAAGTATATTTAAAAAGAAATTTCTTTTCAAATAGAATTTGTAATGATCGAAAAAAAAAGCGTAGTGAAAGATATGTCAAATATGGTAATAAACATAATAGAAATTTGAAAAAAATATCCTTTTTTACATAAAATTTCTAATTTGATTATTCATATATAGTTGAATGGTTCTTTACTTTGATACCATCTGCTAGTATACGATGTATTTCTGATGGATAATAAATAATATCTATGTTATTATTAATATCGTTGATATAACGCTTTTTCTTTCAAAACTATTCCTTTGATCGTTTATTTGTAGAGAGAAGATTGATTTGAAAATAAACTTTTGTCATTAAGATGAAATAGACTGGAGATTTTATTTAAATATTTGAAATAATACATATCTTGTATGTCTTATCGTTCTAGAAAACACATTATTGTATCACTAATTCTTATCAGATGAAAACGACATACTCGACTTTTAGACTTTGTTCTTATGATTTTTATTGACGTCATACTGCTCAAGTAATTATCAATAAAAGATTCTATTATGCTTTAACGATCGAAAAATAAAACAAAAAGAACAAAAGAAAAAACCAACTGTAAATCACTATTATTGCCTTATATCACGATCTATACTGTCAATATTTTAATGTCAATCGATTATAGTCGAAAGAAATATAAAAACAATAGACATGCCGACCAGGTCTCCACTAATGAGGAAACGTCTCCTAGTGTCAAATCGTTTTTTTGAACAAGACGGTATTCATTTGATAATTAATAGAAGAATCTAGAATGGTTTAGTTTTGCTGGCCTTTCTTTTCAAAACGTCAAAATTTAACTGGGTTTTTCAACAAAAAGTTGTAATCACATGAAAAATCGACTTCGAACGTTTGCATGAAGAAAGTTCTTAATGAGATTAGTTGATTGTGCAACAAGTATTTTCCTTTTCAAGACCTAAATATATGAACAAAATTTGCTTTTACACCTGAGAGAATTTCGAATATTTCAAATCTCAAGATAGGAAGGAGATACTAGAAAAGTTACAATTTTATTCAATAAACTAATCTAATTGAAAACTTTGTTCATGCATAGTTTCAAGTCAATTTTTTTACGTAACCACAACTTTTTATTGAAAAATCCAGTTAAATATTGATGTAAGATCTGGAAAACAAGATCATTCTAGACTTTTCTATTACTTATCAAATAAACATTGTCTTAGTCAAAAAGTGATTTGAGCCCTTAGACCAAATTCAAATTTTTGAAATCAGGAGTCTTTTATAAAAAATCAGGAGGCTTTTCTTTCAAGGTGAAAAGCCATTCGGTAGTTTTTATCTGATAAGATCCAAGTTTTCACTCTTATATGCACTTTTCTCGTTTCCAAATCAAGATGGTGACTAAAAAATTTTCTTATAGGTGAAATAAAATTAGAAAAGATTGATAATTTCATAAACGTTTATTTTAATAATTATTTCATAAGCAATTATAGTGCGGGTCAAAAGCCGGGTACCACTCTTTTCTTTTGAGTTGTGTATTAAAACTACACAACATTTATTTAATTTGTCTACATGTTTCTATATTAGCAAAGTATTCAAAAGACTTTTCATTTTATCAGACTCTCTAGAGCTTTTTTCACTGGTCATTTTGATTAAAAAAAACATTTTGGATTTTATTGAGAAATGATTATGTTATAGCCAAAATATTAAACAGTGAAATATCGAGTGTCCCAAAATGTTTGCAACATAGTTTGTTTTGCGAATATCTTTGCACAGATAAATGATAAAATCTTGATTTTTTTTTTCAAAAGATGTGCTGTCGAAAACTCTATAAAATCTTTTGAAATAATTTCTATTGCAAAACAAAAAGTACTTCAAGCATTTTATTATCATTTGTTGTTGTTGTTGTATTTTATATTCAAGGACTTTTCGTATTATACAGATATATACATAGGTAGTACTAGACCTCTACTATACAGGCATATAGACAAATTAAATTAATATTCTGTAGTTGTAATATACCACTCAAGACAAAAAAGTTGTATCGAACTTTTGACTTGCAGTGTATTAGAATACATAAAAAATACAAAATCAAAGCTAACATATCAAATATTTAAAATGAAAACATAAAAGTAAAACAATGTATAACCAATTTACTAAACTATTCGTGGGACTTTTGCAATATGACTATACTTATCTGACGATCGAATCTCTTTGAAAAAATCTCGTTTATTTAAAAGATAATTATAATACTGTGTACAGCTATAATGTGTATTCATTTTAATCTTTAATTCAACTCCAAATAAATCCTGTTTGATTCGATTTCAATTATTATTCCAAAAATATATCATATGACTAAAAGCTAGTTCACAACGAAAGGCAATGTATATCCTTATTGATAATTATATCCATTAAACACTCCGATAGATCTCTTCTCTCTTTCAAGTCTCTATTGGGTCAAGGTATTTCTAATCGTCATGCAAAAAAAAAAAAAAAACCTGAAAACAGGAGAAAATCATAAAAATCAGTTCCTGAATTTAGAAGATTTTCTATCAGGAGAAAAGTAAGAAAATCAGGAGGTTTGGTAAGCTTGCTAATGGTTAGAATAACTTCTGTGTTTTGTAACGCTTGAATTATGTTGTGAGTAAAATCAATAAAAGGTTGTCATTGTTGAGAATAATATATTAAAAGAAAAATATTTTATTGATCAAAAGATTCGTTTTTTTTATTAAGGCAAAAAAAAAACAAAAGAACTAAGTAAGATTAATCATAGAAAAAGGTTTATACGAATCTTTTAAATAGATAGGGAAATACATAATTTTAATTGAAGGAGAGAAAAAGAAGAGAAATATTAGCACTTTAATCACAGTCAATTTGTTGAAAAAAGTTTTTATTTTAATCGACATTAATTAGTTTGATGTTCACGTGCAAGAAAATATTTCTAAAAATAAAAATTTTATTAAACTAAAATACAGAAAAGAAATAAACGTACTGGTGTATTCATATGAAAACGATGAGTATTTAAATAATCATGTCCCCTGTAGAATGATCGAAAAGTTTCTGTGAAAAATAAAATGATTATTAAAAAAAGAAAAAGTTAATATACTTAAGTATTTCGTATCATAAATTCTACTTTGAATTAAAAAGAACTGATTGTTCAGTAACAACTGATGGATCAGTAACTAAAATTGAATGATCATCAAATTTTTCACTTGTTCGAATCTTAAATGTAGCCATTTGAATTTCTGTATCAGTCAAACTTCCATGAGTAATTCGAGCATAACCAATACTAAAATTAATTTTTTCCTCATAATAAAAATTCAAATAAAAAATATGAAATTTACTGAATTAAATTTTTATATAAAATATATTGACACCATCGATCTTTATCTGTTGGATCAATATCTTTTGCAACTGAAGTTAATCTTCGATAATCACGACTAAATGGTTCTGATGTTATATAACCAAGAAAAACTAATGGATTAGTACTAAAATAAAAAATAAAAATCTTTTTTATTTCTAAAAAAAAAGAATAAAATATCAAACCTATTTTTCATAATATCTCTTTAATGTTTCACCTTGTAATTTTCTATCTAAATCATCTCGATCATTACCCATATGAACAATAATTATATAAATTAATTTGCTTGCTGTTTGAATTGTTGCAAGAATAGCCGGAGCAAGTTCGCCTAATATTATTTTCTAGATATATTTATCTTTATATTTTCAAATATTTACCTTCTGGTGATGGTAATAAATAATGTACTGATCGAACAATTCGATATTTTCAAAGAATAATACATCTGAACAAAAAGAAAGATACAAAATTATTTTATTTATTTCTATTTATTTATTGTTACCCCTAAGTATGATCTTTTGTTGATGGACCAAAATCTGTAAACATATGTCATTTTTCTCCTAAATAAGATGTTAAATCATTATTTCGAAAAAATGGTTTTGCTGTATCTCTTTCAAGAAGATTAATAACATCTGCATCTAAGTTGATAGTCAAAAAAAATAAAAATAAAAAAATAATTATTCAAATAATAGAATTTTGACTAACTCGTATCAGCAAGTACGGATGCAACACGATCAAGACTTGGACGAGCATTATTATCATAACCAAAATGAACTGTCCAAACAGCAGCAGTAAGATAAGTTGGCTAATTATCAAAAAACAAAATTTACAGATAAAAATTATTGCCAAAAAAAAACACAACGAACATCTTCTGCTTTGCGTAATGATGTTGATGGTAAAGCAAGAAAACGTGAAAATGTATCAATACATGCAATTAGAAAGGCAATACCAAATGGTAAAATAAAAAAGAATCTTTTTCTCTTATCAATCAATTGACTTTTCACTAGTAGCATAAATAGACGGAGATTAGAAATGGCTAACGAGGAAACTCTTCCAGGCTGATCAATCGTTTTTGAGTCGGGACTATATGTATTATGTAGATCTAAATGAGTTTTAAACATCCTGAAAAGAATTCTGACTTTTAGCTTATTGTTGCTGATTAAAAGAAATTTTTCTAAGAGATTATAATAACAGTACAATATTAAAATAGTATGGAAGAAGCTCAAATTAGAGATCTGACTAGAGCATACATGAGTAAATGTCTTCATATGCATCATGATATTAATCTACTCATTAAAAACGAGTGAAATTTCTTTTTTATATTCTATAACGAACAAAATACAATAAAATCAATATCACGATTGAATTGTTTCATATAGATCCCTCATTGAATTTTTTCTCTGATACTTATGAAAGTTAATAAGATCTTTTTATATTGTTAGCAGGCTAACGATTAGAAAAGAGATTAGTCGGAAAAGAATAAGTATTAATGTAGCAGAAAACGAAAAACGACGTTGTGAGTGTAGCCAGACCCACCAAAAAAAGCTTTAGAAGGTTAAGATAGAAACAACAGCAACAAGATGTAAAACGTTCATAAGAAACTATTCTCATTAAAGACCGTCTCTATACAAAGTTTCTACTCGAAATTCTAACATCAATTTTTCTAGTATTCCTTATGATCATTTTTCATAGAACAAGTACTAGCGCGAATAGAATTATGCTTCATTCGACTTTCGCACATTATTCACACAGAGAACACACGTTTATATACACAACCAAGAGAGAAGTATAAGGATAACCATGAGAGAAGAGAGATATGTCGATGTTGTCACGGTACAGAACAACACGTCCTTTTCAAAAATGTTCTCGGTAGAAATGGTCCTCCGAAAAAATGTCTTCTACTATCAAAATCTTCTTTCAGTAGAACAAGGACAACGCTTGATGATAATAGGATGTGGGTATGAGTGCGAGCTGTAGATAGAACAGAGGCTTCGCCCTCATCAACACTCTCACTCTCATCATTATGTCATGTCATTCTATTTATTTAAAAGGTCTTTATTGTGATTATTTATAAACTATGATATAAATAAACAATTTAAATCTCTGCCGAAGTGTATTTGGATTCCAATGTCATCTACGTTCCAATAGAATGGTATTTAAAAGGCAACAACAGAGTCCTGAGAGGTACCATGCCATTCATTTAAAAACTACGATAAATCTCCAGTATGTCCGCAACAGTAATCTATGGCCTGAACTACTTTCAGAGTATTCAAAGTTCATTTGATTCTATATAATGCACGTAGTCTTGACTCAAAAGCATTTTATCAGTTGAGAGACCTTGATTGTGAGCTCCCTCCCTCTCCACACCTACGGTTGAATTACGTCACTAATTCTCACCTGACCAAATTTGACGATTTGATAACTTTATTGACGAGATACGAGCACGTATATAACGTTCCTAAATTATGTTCTAAATACATAGTTTATATTTATTTATAACAATAAAATATTCGTTGAAATTTTCTTACGAGCAGTATAAACTTCAAAATAAATGCCAAGAAAATAAAAGAATACTAAAATATGAGATGTTTCTCGTGTTTATGTTCCACCAAACGGAACAAAATTATAAGCACTTGTCCAAACAGCATAAATAACTTGAATAATATATGCAAAATTAGCAATAAAAACAATATGTGTTGAAAGACCACGAGCTATTTTATCAAATAATAATGGAAGTATTGATCCAATAAATATACTTAGAGCAAAACCACCTTTTTTGAAAAAATTCAAAAAAAAAAACTAATCAAATACATAAAATAAAATTTTTCATTTACTCATAAATGAAACATTTCCACGACTGAAATATAACAAACCAGAACCAAGAAAACCTACTGATACCCACCATCGATTTGTTACTATACTAAGACGATTGATTATTACAATACCACAAAATAAACCAAACCATATGAGAAGACTTCAAAACGAAAAAAAAAAAGATGATCTCCTTTTTAGTTAGAAAATAACAAATATCTTGTCCTTTACCCATAAGGTATTGGATCGAGTGGTTGATTTGGAAAACCATTCGAAGCCCATCGACTAACAACTGATATATCACCAAATACCCATTGAAGATAAAATAATAAACTACCAAATCCAATACCAACTAATAACCAATTTGGTTGTAAAATATTTTCACATGATGCTGAACGTAATGGATTGATTCCTAAAAATAGAACAAAACAAAACGATGTAATAAAAAAAAAAGCTTTCATCCATTCAATTAACACAAATGAAAAAGAAAAAAAGAAATTAGATAACATACCAAGTGTAGATTTTGTTGAAAATAAATAAAATGATATTGATGGGAGTAATTGCCACATAGGATTGTCTATGGAAGAAAAAAAAAATCAATTTTAATTTATTAATTAATAATTAATTCTTCATAAACAAATTGCTAATGAAAAGTTAATCGATTGTTTTTGAAAAATCTAGGTATCTTCAGAAAAAACTTTGGATATAAGATTTTCTATCCTCAGCTATTGTCTACAACAAAACTAAAATCCATGAAGTAAAAGTCAATGTTTTTTGAACTTACATGGCTATTAAATCAATATAGATCTATTCAGTTAGAAATCATTTCATGTCTCTATATCAATAAATTTTCGTCGAGGTTTAGAATCTATGAAACACTCTATGTATCAAAGATATTCATCAAGATTGGAAATCTGTCGGTGACGCGCCGCAGTAGTTTTTTAAAAAAGTGCCACTGTGATGCCAGCACTGTCATAGACATCTCTACATGTTGAAGATTAAATCTTAACTAAAAGTTGATTAATAAAACTACTAATGCTTTACCTCTTCCAAATTGATCAATGATTGTTCCAATGTCCAATGAGAAAATTTATTAAATGTTGCCATCACACTCGACCATGCTGGTATATAACTTAAAAAACAAATACAAAGACTAAGAAAGAAAAAAAAAACAATTTGTCAATGTCCAAACAAGAATTGATCTAAATATGAAAAAATAATCAATTTTTCTCTAATGTTTAAAATTCAATTAAAAATATTTACCTATATGAATAATATCATAAATTAAGACTTGTACAAAGATGAATCATAACAGCACAAGTACCACATGAAAGTATTAATAATCGTAATAGAGGATCTTCTAATTGAAATGATAATAAACTAATAATTAATTTTCCAAGAGTACTCTATAGGAAAAAAAAACAAAGAACAATTTCATTTCGAAAGATTCAACAAAAGAAACAAAACTAACGTTGTGGAATATTATTCACTAATGAAGGGCAAACTATAATTGGACTTGGTAAACTAAGTATTAATACTTCATAACCATGAATAACTAATTTCACCATGGGAAAAAACATAACCATTGGAGCAATGCCAAAAAAAATTGTCCAAAAAATCTATCCTATACAAGAACAAATAATTATTCTCTTTAAATAATCATCATCATTAAAAATTTGTCTTACCAAAATATAATTCCCAAATAAATATACGTCAAAAATATTTCTCCATAATATTTTCAATATTAGATGGAACTTTTTCTATATCACCAAAATCATAATTTTCACCAGTTTGTTTTCGATTTTTTATTAACATCTTTTCTTTTTCTTGATCGGAAGTTTTCTCATCACTTTTACTTGCTACTTTTTGACGTGAACGAAGTATATTTTCATCCATCTAAAATAAATCCACTCGATCAATGAAGCAAAACTATAATAAATATTACAATTATATTAACAAATATATAGAACATTCGTTCATTCATTCAAATTGTTTTATTCAACTTAAATTCCATATCATAATTCATGGATTTTCAAAAAGTTCACGTCAATTGAAAGATCAAAAACTCATAGTCATATGTGTAAAATCATTTTAAACTTTTCGTGCATTAACATTTACCAAACATTTCTCTTTTTTTTCTCGTTTTTTTTTAAATTACTGTAGATAAGCGACATCTACGAAGTCACAAGAACTCTTCATAATAATGATAAGAATTTAGAAATAACTATTAGTGTCTGAAGGCATAACCAGGCTTTTGATAGTGGGGATTTGAAGGTTGAAATTGGCTGAGCTCTCTGTTTGGTTGCATGGGTTCAAACAGTGAAGAGTTTCAGCTAGATACGAGCACGATGGTTTCAATCTCGATTCTGTCAGGATCAAAAACAAAGACTCTCACTTATATCTAGGCTCAACATTGACATTGCTTACGTAACTATTAGCAACAAACTTGATGAATTAGGTTTAAACATAAATTATTGAATTATTTTCTTAGACATATGTTTTTTTCGTGAATATTTTACTGTTTCACCCTAACATAATATTATTTTGATCTCAAATTTTATATCAAAGAGTTTTTTTTTGATTTATAACGTTGATTAAATAGAAATATTTTGTCGTATTTATTGAAAAATAATCTAAATAAACAAATATTGGATTTTTAAAAAATGTTCTTCTACCAAACACAATCCAATAGATGACTTATTTTTACCAAAAAAAAACATTCATATATCAATGGATGATGTATGAAAGTATTCAACATGACCTTTACATTATTTTCTCCTTTTTTTTCAACGATCTTCGCTGTAAACTTTATAGATTTTCCAGCTTTTACATACAGAAAAAAAACTAATACACTTTCTAACAGCTAACTCTCAATAGTAATGTTATTTTATTTTATTTTTATTGTCATAAGATAATCTCTAGAGATTATGATTAGTTTTCGAAATAATATTCAACTCGAAAACTATGTCAACTAGTACTCATTTAGAATAACAACGTTTTGCCTGTTACTGACGCATGATTGTCATGTAGTTAGAATAAAATATATATTGCTCTATAATTATATGTCATTTTAAAAAGATTTTAAACTAATATATTGTTCATTAAATTCTTCAACAAAAATTTCTTTTTCTCGTTCTTTTTTTTTGAAGGGTTGAGATGTACGAATAATTAATGGAAATTTTAATCAAACAATTGCTACTGA